TCCCCAGAGAGACACTCAGCCCTCCTTGCACAGTGTTTGTATGGCATCTACAACATATAATGTCTGAGAATCCAGAGCTAATTTGGCACAGTAAACAACACTTCTTTTCAGAGGCTAGGAACTCCCTTAGCTGTCTAGATCTCTGGTTCTGGATTCAGACCTGGCCAGCTACTAGTTCTGATATCTCATTGTCCTTGTCCTTGAAGAATTTTTGTTTCTTATTTATACAGTATGTTAATTAAAACAAAAAATGAAAAGCAAAAGCAAGCAAGACAAAACCAAATCAGCCCTTACATCAGAGGGAAATTACTTAACATAGGCTAGCTTTATTTGACGTTCTCAGTAAATGTTTGTGTATTTTTTTCTGCTTTTTGCATATTGGATATTGCACAGTTACATGGGTGTATATCTAATGGGACTTAGCATCAAAGTGGTTGTCCAGAAGGCAATATTTAAAAGAATTTAAATCAGTATGAGTTGAGTGTAATTATGAGTCCTGGGCTGTGTTAGGAATTGTGACATACGTAGAAAAAACACATAGCAGAATCATGGTATTGTTAAGGTTGGGAGATAAGAGGTCTGCTAGAAAAATATATTTTATGTTTAAACGTAAAAAATTATTATAGCAAAATACTTACTGACATTAATCCATATCAAAATATTATTCCCTTTGCTTCAGACTCACTTATCCCATTATTCTTGCCTATCTCTGCAGCAGTCCGTAATCCCCTTTAGTAAGTGTCTTATTTGAACTGTTATGGCTGCCTCAATGTCCTGAATTGATTCAAAACATTGACCTTTCACGGTCATTTTGAGTTGGAGAAGAGCTAGAGTCACATGGTGCCACAGCAGGTCAATAGAGTGGATAAGGACACACCAAATGTTTTTATGTGACAGAAATTGCCGTAAATGGTTGATCAACATGGAGCCATCAAAGCGTACACTAAAGCTATAAGTAAAAACTTTATTAAAATGAAAGACGCACTACCATTTAGCCTCATCAAAATGCTCCCTCTTGGTCTGAACACATTGTTCTTGGCATGTGTCTTTTCCTGTAATATATTTACAAAGTTTAAACGTCAACCAGTAGACCCCTGGATATACACAGTAATAATTAGAGAAGGACTTTGGGCTGAACTATACGGCGCTGGTTATAGGTTATATAATTTAAGCCTCTCCAAGTCCCCCTGAGCCCGCTCAGCTTGTAAGTATTTCAGTAGTGATGACAAAAATGTCCTTGCCTGCATCCTCCAGGCCCCACAGAACCTCTGGCCTTTCTTAGCATTGCCTGTCTGCTGGCTGTGGGTGTTCTCAGGACACTGTTCATGTGAGTCAGTCAACCAGTTTGTCAGCCATAGTTACCAGGAGGCCTCTTTCCTATTGGTTTCCTCCTGCTCTGCCTTTCTTCCTCATTGCCTCTGTCTAGGAGGGCTGGGGAGGACGCCTCACCCCTGCCCTGCTGCTGGTGACCATCATGAGGAAACTGAACCCGGGACCCTAAAGGTACAGGCTCCACTGATCCCACACGGTCAGCCCCAAGTATGGGAGGGTACGGTGTCTCGGAGTGGAGTGTGGTGACCGCCTTTCCATGCCACTCGGGGTCCAGCCTAATTGCCTGGACATGAAAGCTCTGGGGAGCTTGTTTCTCTGCGTCTTGTCTTTGACTTTTCTCATTTAGGATGATTTTAAGTAAGGCGTGCTGAGTACGTGTTAGACACATGAGTGGCTTGGGTGCCATAACGGTGACAAAAATGGGGATGGTTTTGATGTCAAGTTTAGTGCGGGAAACAAACAGATAACTGGTGAAATAAAATTGCAGCTGTGTTAAGTGTGGGAAAGGGAGAGACCTGGTGAGATGGTGGATTACGGTACAGAGATTATTTGGTCGGGAGGGGTTGGAAGCTTCCTCAGGAATCAAGTTAAACATCATTCTAAGAAATGGAGCAAAGCCTGACAGGAGGATCCTATGCAGAGGAGCATAAGGTACAAAAGCCACTTGCAGAGTTCCTTCACGCTCTTCCCCTAGGGCAAGTTTGGTCCCTGTGGTCAGGAGAGGGCTGGTATCTCAGACAGGTGCCATGAAATCCTCTTCTTACTTATCTGCTTCTCTGTGTGAGCTCTTTTCTTAGGCGAAGCAACTCAGACAAATGGCTCAACAGCTACCCGTAGAATTTGCTATGCTTCATTCCTATCTGTACCTCTAGCTTCTGCTTGAGGAAGGATCACACATCTTTAGAAGTGCTGGTGGAAGAGGTGCAGAATTTGCATCTGAAGGAGGAAGCTGGTGACAGTCATTGGAAGAGGTGGGGTTTGAGCTGTGTTTTGGAAGGATCGGTGAAAGTAGGCAGCAGGGTACGCAGGTGGAACGGACAAAACTGGCAAAGGAGTAGAGGTAGGGATGTTCTGTTAAATGAGGAGAGGTAAAGAGGCGGAGCTTTCTGGAGAAGAAAACTTGTTAAGAAGTCAGGAACTATAAAGAAGGATCAAGTTACAGAGAATTTGGAAAAGTCAGGAAAGGGACTCAGGGCTTGATTACTTAGTACTCTAGGGAAATACTTCGCGTTAATGGACAAAGAAGGAATGAAGATAAAAGCCTCAGCTGAAAAAAAAAATTAAAAAAGAATACAACAGGGAGTTGTTAGAACAATGGGAGCTGTTTGTAGAGCATCTCGTTCAGGTGGCAGTCACAGTTATTTTGACATGTGGCGTTTGAGATGGTGGAAAGTCATCCACATGTCAGTGTCTACTATATGGCCTGACGTAACAGGCCCGCATTCATGAAACATCCAGGATTGCCATTTAGTTTTATGTGCAGAGATATAATAATTTTTGTGGTGAGAGTGAATGTTATCAGAAAAGTTATGACCTTCTAGAGGCTCCCTCAATATGGGAAAGGATGTAAATTAAATATGCACTTCAAGATTCTGTAATTTTTTCATTCATTCTGACTTGACAATATAAATAATTAGTTGAAAAATATGTTTTTCATCACTACTGTTGGTTTTGCCATGTGTAGCTTGTATGTTGGTAGATACATAATTATTACATATTGACTGAGTATGTAACAACCGATCACAGAGTTTGATAGTGTTTTATCTTTGATAAACATTTTTCTATGCATGGTAAAGATTTTTCTATATAGACAATCAAGAATGGGTCAGAGAAATTCACACATATGCATATACATATAACTAAACTTTATTTCATTTTATTGTTCCCAAAGGTTAAGATACACAAATAAGGACTAAAATTGAAATTATTTTCTTTCGAGATGATTTATGTCTTAATTTTCACCTGCCCTATAATTAGAAATTTTGAACTCTGCAAAATTTTTTTTAAATAAAATTATTGCCTGAGTAAACTTCAGAAATTATATCGTTAACCCAAAGACCTTTCTAAGCTTAGAACAACATTATTGGTACAAGTGCCTGCACACACACACAGACAAATAAAGAGGAGGGTTTAAAATAATTTGAAAATGATTTATTGTTGGCCACCCCTGTAGTTAGAGATCCAAGTATTATTGCTTTACTTTAGTGCAACAAGGGAGGACAGAAGTTTGCTGTGAGCTGGTAAATTATAATCTATTACAAAGGAGGAAGGAAATGCACTGAGGGTAGAGAAATAAGTTGGGAGTAAGCCATGTATTTTCTGAAATATTGCTTTCGATAATGCCTTAAATAATATCTGCCTTGACCCTTGCTGGACTAATCCCTCATAAACTGTGAGGCAGACGGCTTTCTTAAATCTCATGTAGTTAAGGACTGGTGTGCTTGCTATGGGTTTGCCAGAGTATAATACACACCAAGATATCTAGAGTCACCAGTTCTTTCTTTGAGTTTGTTTCACAATCCTGTCCTAGAATCACCCAGTTTTAGAGTTTGAAGGGATCATTTAAGACATCTAGACTGAAGGCAACCATTCCAAAATAGTTTCATTTTCCATCCTGCTTATGTGATTTGCGAGGTTTGTTAATGTCCCCCTGTGGGAAATTAGTTATAGATTCTATATCACAGTCTACCATTTTTTCTTTTTGGAAAAATAAAAAAATATTAAAATCTCATCCTCAATAAATAATGTGATGCATGGAAGAAAAAAAGACTAATATATTGAAGGTTTATTATGCCATAAGATTCAAGCTATACGTTTCATAAATATTATCTCATGCAATCCTTCTAAAACTCTGATAGAACACCATGCTACTTCTGTTTTTAACTGATGAAATTAGAACCGACCCAAAGTACACAATTCGATGAAAATATACAGTGAGTGTTAAAATTAAAAAATTATTGCAATAAAGGACACATTGCCAGTAAACTTGCTCAAAATACTTTCCCTTGCTTTGAACAACCTTATCTGACATTCCTGCCACTTTCCAAAGCAGTTCTGGAAGCACTTGTTCCTGAGTCTCTTTATGCAGTGTGACTTAAAAGACGGTGAATCCTGCTGGGAAAGGCAGGCTGGTAAAAATATGACAGTTTGTGCTCATCTTCTCATCCATCTTATTTATCACAACAACACAGCTAAAGACACCCACAACAGGAGACTTCCAGAACTGCTTCGGAAAGTGGCAAAAATGATGGGAGAAGTGTGTTCTAAGCAAGCAAGAGTATTTTAAAGGAGATTGATTGCAATGTGCTTTACTGTAATACATTTTTAAAAAATTTAAACATTCACCATAGTTTTTGACCACCTATGTTACCCAAAGGAATCTGTGGCTCAAATCTAAATTTAGTACGATCGCGGATCTAAATGTATTTTTTTCACACCTCACTGCTCTATGCTGCATCACTTTTATTACACATCTTATAGAGGAGAATAAATAATGTTGCCTTCCCAAATGCATCTCAAACTAAAAATACAACTGGTCAAAACATGATGCTTAATGACTCTGAGGCTTGCTTTCCCGGATTTTTTTTTTTTCACAGAATTCTTTGTATAACTTTACGTTCTTACTCATTATGAAAATGTCTGAGCATGTTGTCTTTGGACTGCCTTAGGTTCCCGGCCAGACGTAACTGTCACCCACCTTCGAGCAGCTGGGCGTGCTGGAGACACAGTGCTGGCTCTGGAGGACGCTGTGCGTTGGCAGCCAGGGGACGAAGTTGTCATTGTCAGTGGGACAGGGGTGGAAGGCACCAGCCTGCGGGAAGAGACCGTCACTGTGGGGACCGTGCACCGCGCAGACCTCCACCTTAGGTCACCCCTGAGGTACACACTGTCAGCTTGACTAAGCTAAGGGAAGACAAGGCCCTAACCGTGCTGCAGCCAAGACATCTGTCTTCTGATGATATATGTTTAACTTAAAAATGCTGGACATTTTGATAAGAAAATTATAAAATATGAAGTGATTTGAAGATGTAGAATCTGTAGATAATTTCTGAGGCTCTAGAACTCTATATTACAGCAAGTGGTCAGTGCAATAATCAGTGTATTTTTGAATTTTTATGTACTGGTGAGTATGCATCACTTACTCTTTGGTGTTTGAGTTCCTAAAGAGGTAAATCTCAAAGGAAGGATTGCAATCATCTTATGACTTTTGATTCCTATGATTTGGAGTGATGTCCTCAGATGGACCTTCCTCTTTTTCTTTTTTTCAGATATACTCACAACTGCACAGAGAATTGGTTGGTTGGAGAGCGACAAATTTTAAAGGTCACAGTTGCTCTGCTCAGCAGGAGTATTACTATAACAGGAAATCTCACTCAGGAGAGGAGGAAGTTTCTTGCTTCATGCCCAGAGACCAGTGTTCCAGAAGGTACAGAAGGATTTTGTTAGAAAGTCTCATGAATGAAAAAAACTGTTTTCATATGACACATGGCAATGCTAGGGTTGACTTCCTTAAAAATAGAATAAGCGCTTGGCCTTTGGATGTCCATGATGTTCTGTAATTTTAAGAAAGCTCTTGATAAATTGTTAGTTCATTCCCCTCTTTACTTCAAAACAAACTTGTGAAAGAGACCCCCCTAAAAAAAGATGAAATAAATCATACATTACTTTTACCAGGGAAAATTCTGTTAAAGAATGAAAACTGGAGAGCTGAATTGCATTTCCAGGTTAGACACAATCTTAACTTCTGTTCTAGGCTTCTAAGATTTTCAAGAAAACCCTAGCGACAGAATCACAGGCTCAGGGAGTACCTTCTTATTGCTGAGACTTGCTCTCCCACTTCTTTTGGGGTTTGTTTTGGAGTGAACTACCCCATGCTTTTGGTGAGTGGTGGGAAAAGTTCATTTATCTTCTAGCAGAATAGCAGGCACTGAATCACGCTGATGTGCCTATTAAACATCGATTTCAGGGATGGTTAGTTTAGGAGGTTGTGTTTGGGTTTTTCGGGCTGTAGATTATGAGGCTTTCACATGTTGTGAAGACATCATTTGTCAATTTTGGTCCAGGATGCGGTTGGTGTCAAGGATGACTTCCAGGCATGAGCTCTGGATGGATGATGAGGCTATTTACTGAGATGGGAAGAGGAGCATGTTTTGGAGTGGGAGGGTGATGATCAGGCATTTAAATTTGTGCATATCAAAGCAGAGATGGCAGGCCAGCAACATGCTAGAGATGTCCAGTAATGTCTGAAATGCAGAATAAAGTGAAAAATGTTAAAAATTTGGTGGTATCTGCATGTAGTTTCATGTAGGTATAATGTAGCGATGTGGCTGGGTGTGGAGAGAGATCTGGACCTCACCTTCCTCCGTCCAAGCCATTGCCTCACATCTATGCCATTTTGTAAAAGATGTCTGGCTAACAGTGGGTTAGGACTGATTCACCATTAACTTTAACAATTTTGCCAAACTGGGATCTACATAGCATTCACATTTTCTTGATAATTCTCATACAGTCTTTCTCAGATCATACTTTGCAAAATGTTGAATTTGATCATAGAGCCAATGAGAACATGCTTTTGAATTTGAGCTTTTTAAAATTTATTTTATGTTTTTTAGAGAGAGTCTTACTCCATAGCCCAGGGTGGCCTTGAACTTGCAGTGATCCTCCTGCCTCAATCTCCTGAGTGTTGAGATTATAGGCGTGCACCGCTATACTCAGCTTAAGGTTTGAGCCATTAGAAATCTGTTAGCTCCTAATGGAAAACATTGTTGATTGCATCATAAATCTTAAATGTAGCTTCAGTAGACTCAGAATAGGTCACTTAGTCTTCTACATGAGAAACATGGAATAAGCTAGCTAAATTTTGTAATATGAAGCCTGGCCATTTGAAAATACCATAGATTACTTACATAAATGATAAAGCATGCAAATATAAAGCATTTCTTTATTTAATTTTTATATATTCATTTCCTGGGTATTAGCAAATGGCTGGATTCTGGAATTCACTGTGGAATGACACATGGTTTGTGCATGATTGCCACTTCCTTGGTTCATTAACATGACTAAGAAAGAATCAATTCAGGAGATGGTTTCTTCTTCATCCTGAGATTAGCTCACATCACTAAATGTTCTGTGTCTATAGAAAGTGCTATGGGTCCTGAAGTGCCAACACTGTAGCCGTGGAAGTTGTGAGATTGTGTCTTATTGTACATTCCCTTCAGGGATCTCATGTGTTAAAATAATCATCACTTTAGGTTGGATTTGTGGGTTATAATCTGTCACTTTGTGCAGTAGTTAAGATGATTGTTTTAGGAGTTTCTGGAAACAATAAAGGCAACATCGTGTTGTGGTGATCAAATCGCTTAATTAATAATCCACAGAGGGGAGTCAAAGTAAAAATAAGATTATTACATAGAAGGAACAATAATGGATTTCCATTGTGCTGGAAGTGGCTTCAAAACAGAGACATTTGTCTAGCAGCATGTTCTATTGCTCTAGGTTGCTGGACTTCTTTCTGTGTTGCAGGTAATCTGCAGCACTGTTTATATTCCAAGAGTGAGAAGGTGCTGGGATCCAGGGATCTGGGGGCCAGAGTCATCATTCAGTCTTTCACGAAGGAGCCCAGCCGGGTCCAGCTGGAGGGGGTGCAGTTCCGAGACGTGGGGCAAGCCTTCCGTAAGCACCTGAGTTCCATCACTCTGGTGGGAGCAATGAGAGGTGAGGGGTCAAAAGCTTCCTACTTTCTGTCTTCTCCCATAAGGCACTTCTGCGTCAGACTAGGGGATGTGTGGGATTTGAAGGATTTGTAGGTGGATAGTTCTTTATATTCAACATAAGTGTTTTTCAACTTTGGTGTGCCAAAAAAATCATTCATAGTGTTTGAAGTGGAACCTCCATATGTGAATTTTAAACACGCACAGCTTATTATTCTGGAAGGAGTGAAAGGCGAGAAGCATCATTAATACATGGACTAAGCTCTGCATACCAGGTCCATTTCAGAGCGATCCTCCCGTTCCTCAGCACAGCTAATACTCACATTTTCCAGCTGTGCCTTTGTTTAAAGGTTGCTGCTGTAGGAGATTCAGAAGTTGATACCTAAGCGAAAGGCATCAGGTCAGGTTTGTGCTGCCCATGGCCCTTGAGAATGAGTTTGAACCTTTGCTGAGTTTAATGACAGAGTAATTCTTGTAGACATTAAAGGTGGAGTCTCTTGCTAGCGAACCACAATTTTTCCCCCTTTCAAATCATCTGCACATCTATCCTAATCTTCCAGTTATTTGTTTATTTATTCCTGTCATTTAGGGTAATAGTTGCTAACGTGATCGAAAGTTTTATTGCAGTTAAGGTTTCCAAGGGAAAAGATTTAATACAGGAACATAATTTATAGGATTATTTTATAATATTCACCCAAAGAGTCAAATGCAAACGAGTGTGGGAGATCTGTCCACACACTGGAGACCGAAAGAATCCAGCTGAGGGCCTGGACCCCATGACAATGTCCTGCATGAGTTCAGCTGAAAAGCTAGAGCCCATGGCAATGTCTCATGCAAATCTGTACCAAGGATCTGCACTGGGAAGGCCCAAAGGTCTGTGGTGGAAGCTAGTCAGTGGGATGATGGATCTGTACCAGCAGGCTAAGGGATCTGCACTGGAGCCAGGAAGTGATGCTCAAGGTAAGGACCAGAGCTCCCCCAGAAAGAACTGCAGCCATTTTCAGCAACAGTGAGGACCCAAGATCCTCTGAGGATAACAGCCAAGTTCGTATGAGGAAAGCCAGCATGACAGGCTTCTCCAGGAGAATCAACAGCTGACACCTTTCCTGCCAGTTCTCTTTGTATGCTGCTGGCAGCAATCCTCAGGTGGGCCCTCCACGTACAGAACCATGCTGATTCAGTTCAGCTGGGTGTTACAAGTTGACCATTAGTTAATCCACCATACCTTCCCTACTACGCTGGGTCAGTTGGTGCCTTTGTGCCCTTTTCTCTGTTCTTTGGTTGTCTACTGCATGCCGTGCTGCAGAATATTTGATGCAGACACCAGCTTCAGTGAAAGAGAGGCTAGTAGTCATACATAAGTGATAATTAGGACATGAAACCCCCTTATTCAAAATTCATTTAATTTACCTCATCTTTTTTATGGAGTAACTACCCTTTTATCAATTTCTGTATATTTGATTTGTGTGGAAAAGGGCTCAAGGCTTAAACACATGTTTAGAAATCACTGCGTTAAGACATTATCCTCCGTAAGTCCCTGATGGAATAAAAACAAATCTCTTCGTATTACAGGGTGTAACAAAGTGACTCTGGTGCTGGAGGCTTCTGGCATGCTCACCAAAGCATTTTTGTTATTTCACAGCCCGCAGGCCCCCTACCCTGTGTGGTCACTTGCCCCAGTCGCTAGAGTTAGGAGACATTGGATTCTCTGCACGGTACTTTAAGTGGTCTGCCAGTCTCTGAATTCCACCAGGAAGAGCTATGTAGATTCATTAGTTCTCACTGGCTGTCTAAAAGGACAGGCAAATTATGATGAAGCCACAGGGGGAGAGATTCAGAGTTAGGAAAAAATCGGTAGCGGATAACGTTCTGAAAGAAGTGGATATGGTGAAGTTAGTTAATAGAGTGCATCTTTTGTAAGTGATATAAGGGTCCCTGCTATTAAAGGAAATGAGATTGACAGGAATATAGAGATCCATGGTCTGTAAAACATTACAGTTGAGAATTTTCTGGGTAGTTCCAACTGTAAAAGTGAAAATATTCCATAAACCAATATGCTAGATATATGGCACCCATATGCCCTCTCTTCCTACCTGGTGATAATATTAGATCCATTTACAGGACTTATATTTATTATTCAAACAGTAAACTTTTGTTTTTTAATGGTGATGCAGTCAAGAAAGGAGGTAAGCATGCGATGTATGAAGCTACCGTTGGTGTACTGTTTTACAGCAAAGTTCTGCTAATTTTATAAGTACAAGGACTGTACTTTAAAATAATAAATGTATCAAGCAGTTAAAGAGTCATTTATTATCATTATTAAGTGCTGCGTAGTCTCCATAATTATGTGTGCTGTACTTTTATCTTGCTGGTGGTGCAGTAGGTTTGTTTTCCACTGGCATCACCACAAGCCCATGAATAATGGGTTGTGCTTCAATATTCTGACTGCTGCCATGTCACCAAGTGATAGGAGATTCTCACTCCCATATATTCTATGGACCTACCACTGTATATGCATTGACCGCAGTGTGACACTGACCGCAGTGTCACTGAGTGCAGTATAACTAGAGCTGATGCTTAGGAAATATTTATTCATCGACTGATCTAGACTGTATAATCCAGTTCAGGGGCCAGAGATAGAAAGACTAGATCCAGGGCAATGATTTTCCTAAATGTTGATTCCACTTAGCATTGTAGAGGATACTTTCCCTCTAACTTCATAAGCTTTTCATATTCGAATGTGAGAATCACGATGATCAGGCCGACATTTGGCTTTGCTAACAATTTGGAATAGGAATCTCTGTCCACTTTAGGCTAAGAATAGCACTGCTTTGCAAGTTATAAATATTAATTTGTTTATAAGATATAGCTCAGGAAATAATGATCATACCTCCTTATCAAGATGCAGCTTTCAAAGATCAGAATTGATCCATGAATATTACTCTCCACAGTCCTTGCGCTTTCATTTATCATAGTGTGATGAAAATTTATGCCAAAGGTGATGGTCTGGTGGAAATCCTGAAAGCCATGGGTTCTTTTGTGGTTTGGCCCTATCTTCTCTTTCTCAGTTGATTTTCTTTTCTAAGATTTGATCCTTGGATTTCAACCTGTTTATCTTTAAGGGCTATTCACCTGAGTTGCCCATATCCTTGATTTGATTGCCCCTTCCAACTCAGCTTCTGAGTTTTGTGGTTGTAAGGAAGATATTTCTAGCCATGGTATAGTTTGCTTTGGGTATGGTTAGGGGAATCCCAAGGAGCCTTTGAGATCTAGTTGTAATTTCCACCTTATTCTTTCCTGTTCAGGTTCCTACATGCGGGGCTGTACAGTTTGGAGCTCTTTCAGCAGGGGGCTTGACCTGGGCAGGACCTGGGGCCTGGAGGTGGACAGTAATGTGTTCTACAAGATTTTAGGCCATGCCCTGCTGGTGGGTAAGTGGAAGGAACTTGTTTACCTTCTGTACTCTTGAATAGGATGCCTAGTTTTTCACAGGGAATTCTCCCCAAATCTTTAATTCCCAATTTATAAAACTTTGGCCTTCTAATCATTACAAATATGCCATGGTTAAAAATTCTAAACTTCAATAGTCTTCACTGGATGACTTACTAAACTCAGTCAATAAGAAACTGATCTTTTAAAGTTTCAGTTCAGGTTAACAAATATATAGTGGGAAGTTTTAAAATTTATTGCTTGATATTTTTCACAGTAATCTTAAGTCAGTTCCATATGTGCATGTACAATCTCACAGGCTATCAAAGTTGAACGTTAGCCAAAGATTTAAAACATCTTTAAATCTATTCTTAATTGCTCCTGTGGCTTGCCGATTCATTCATGCTTCAGGATCTTCTAACTGGTCACTTGTTTTCCCTTTTTGTCTCTTAAAGTTCATTGCAAAACCTAGAAAAATCTCAAATTGTGTCATGTCATTCCTCCTCTAGAAGCCCTTTAAGAGTTTCTTATTGCAGTTAGAATATAAACAAAGATTTTAATATAGTTTGAAAGATTGCTTCAGCGACTTCTTTTGTCTCTGTTAATGTCTGTAAACTGGTCTTGCTTGTTCCCTCTCCCTCGGTCGTCTAGGGACATGGATCTATTTTATTTTATCCTTTTGAAAAACCATACTTTCTTCAGTCTCATGGGTTTTGCACAGCCCTTTTTCTTTGTTCAAGCCACTCACCCAAGTCTAGTCCTTCTATTTAAGTACATTAAGCACCAGTCAGCACTTCATGATTGAAAATATACGTTACAATTCTGATCATCTGATTAATGTCACTTTGCCACCAGATTCCATGAGGATGTTGTTTCCTTAGAGTTCAGCATGTGAACTCATGCACTGTAGGTCTGCCAGCTGAAAGAGATGAATGAATAAAGGAGAAAAAGGTCTCCGCTTGTATCAAAATGGTAAAGCAAATCAGATTCACTTAGAGTGAGAGTATAGCTATATTAGATAAATAATAGTTTTTTGTATTTAAATTAACACTGATATTAGTGGAAAAATGTATCTTTTATTTATTTATGCTGTGATAGATGCTACAAAGCTTCTACCTGGGCGTGGTGGTAAACACCAGTGTTACCCGATCTTGGGAGGCTGAAGCAGAAGGATCACAAATTTAAGGCCAGCCTTGGCTATATCACAAGTTCAGGGCTAGCCTAGATTACCTGGTGAGACCCTGTCTCAAGAAACACAACACATCAAAACAAAACTCTACAAATGTTCTAATCATGAGAGGCAAACTGCTTACTGAGGAAATGTCAGTCATATGAACTGGCTTTACTCCAGCTCTAAAAGGCAGAGCTAAGGGTACTTGAGGTGATTAGCAACAGAAAAACGTGTGGATTAGGAAAGGACAAACACAAAGAGTCAAAGTAACAGATGTAGGATTTACTTTGCTTATTCTCACTTTTGTCTGTGTAAGGGACAAAACCTCCAGCAGAAATTCAGGAAGATACCCTAACATTATGATTTTAACAGAAAACAAAGAAATGGGATAGATACTCATCATGCAAGAGAGAAAAATTGTTGGAGGAATCAGCCTTTTGGGCTTGGATATTGAGACTTATAGGCTCTTGGCATCTGATGTATTGCAAGTGGGGGTAATGTATTCTAGGGAAAGTACTCTATTTAACAAGTTATACATCCGGGATCATGAAATGGCAGAGGTGACTGAGACACACAAACAGTGAGGCTCTCATGAGGGGTTCTGTGGAGCGGTCCTTGCTCATGCATCTTAAGTGACTCATTGCTGTGTCTCAGGGCCCATGTGTGCTCTTCTATTGCAGTCATTGAACGCAAGGGTCCCTGGTCCTCCAGAACATTCAGCCTGGTCCTGCAGAACATTCCAGACCTTCCAGGGAAGAGAGAAGTGTGCAGATAGCTGGTGGCCAATCTCCCAGGAACAAGGCTGGAGCTGACAGAGTGTCTGACAGTAGAAACAGTCAGTTAGACTCCTCCTAGGAAGTAAAATAAAAGATTTATTTTTCTGCTCTTCACTTCAGTGGAAGTGAGTTTTTAATGCAGGATACTCCTGAACTAAAAATCCATATGATCTATATTTCTTTATCTCATTCATAGAGAAAAACACACACAAAATCAAAACAACCAACAGGCAAAGAAAGTGTTGAAGTGTCTCTTGTTTTCCTGAGTGGCACCGGATCTGCCGAAGTAACATAATCTTTTGTTCTCAGGGACACATATGGAGATAAGCTATGTCCCCTGGGAGCTGATTCTCAGAAGAAAACTTGGTAAATATGTAAAGTGATTTTAAATCTATTACAGTCCATTTACAATGGTCATGTATTTCATACAGAAAAATGTTAGATGTTTCAAATTTTCTGAGCTAAGTGTTTCCTGAAGATGCAGCACACATATATATTTCTATGAAATACGTTAGGTCAACGAGGATATATGTGAGTAGAATCAAAAGTGTTGGGTTGTGTGAGTTTTAAGTGTATTTATGAATCCCTGGGTTTTATTTGTGTTTTTAAAAACAAGGCTGGTCAGAACAAGGGAACATAATAAGAAACAATGTGATCATCAGTGTTTCTGGTGCTGAGGGTCTCTCCAGTCCTGAAATGTTGACTCCTTCTGGAATCTACGTTGGCAGCCCTACCAACGTCATAGAGGTAAGAGCGTCAGCCCCTCCAGGAGGGTCCGAGCTGAGAGGGCATAAAACTCACTGCAAGTGAAACTGGAGCATCAGAGTCAGGCATGTGGTTTGAAATGTTTGTTTGCCACATGCTAATATCAAGAAATTAATTTATGATTCTCCATGAAAGGAATACTTTGGAATAAGTTCAGTTGTTTTCTGAGAATTCTTATAAAACTCTGAAGCAATATCTATGTGGAGCAAACCAAAGCAAATATCGATCATTCTCTGGGCATGTAGATGAATGCAAGCGACATGTGAATATCTTCCTGACTTATCCACCGTGGATGCTGATTTTATTTCTTCTGATTCCAATACTAGTTACTTTCACTGTCTTGCTATATTAACGTGACTATATTATTTCCTTATGACAGTGTTTCAGACTGCATTGTGAGATGTATGAGCTCGTGTAGGATTTTAGGAGGATGTGAGGTACTTTGATGACCTTATTTTTTAATGTCATTATTTAATGTAACAACATTTATTTCTCTTGGGAAATTTTTAACCGCTTTATGAAATTAAATTACAGTTAACTATATACTTAGCTGTACAGTTTAATCGTAGATTTGCGAATGAGGAATGGCATCAGAATAATAGAAGGGCATTTCTTTTCCCTTTTCCAATTCTTTTATCTCATGGGTTGTCTATGGAAGCCGTGAAGGGTCACTTTCTTTGAGGACACTGCTCTGAGGATATCATATTAGGACAACTATGCCGTGTTTCCGAGGAGTTCGGAGGATGTGTGTCTCTCCCCCTGATCATCTGTTTTTAATTACCTCCAGCTGAATCACCCCTCATAAAAAGTTGTGGTTTTCTGTTCAACCCTCCTTAAACTCTTAATAGCGTTTATGCTGAGCACAGCGCTTCCACACCATTTTAGGTGCCTAATAGGGGTGGCTAATATGTCAGGAAGGAAAGGAGGCAGAACTGCACGGGTTGTAAGAAGCTGAAATCTAGGCAAGTTGCATGTAACTTTACTTTAGAGCTTCTTGACTCTCTGTGCCAGAAGCTGTGGGGACTCCAGAACCATGCTTTTGTGAATCTTTCTTGGGTAGCAGTCCTAACTACCCTGAATTGCCTACTGGGGAGGAAACCCTCACGGCTGACTAGCTCGTGCTCCTGTATGAGCCTAGGGCGCCCATCTCTCTGGGTAGGAACTGTACTGTCTCCAGGGCAGATTTCTTGTCACTTGCTGAGGGGAAGAAGAGGAGCTTGAGAAGTCTGAAAAGCTAGTGCGTCACCTTAACCTTTATAGACTGACAGGTGGAAAAATGCACACCTAGCAATGGAAAAATTCAGCCTAGAACTAGGTATTTTTTCTGTCTTCTGATATCTTTCATTTCTATCCATTTGCTTCTTTCCTCATATATACAGTAATTTATAAAATTTTAAAGATGCAATGCATGTGTTTTGAGAATGTATGTTGAGGGTAATTTGATAATACGCTTACTAGGCATATTTGAAACATATTCATCTTCAACAATCTTAAAATTTTGTAGTTATCTTTTCATTTGCTTATCAGCTTTTAGACCTTAGTGCAATATCTAAAACATAATAGTTGCTCAATAAAAATGTGTTGTGTAAGATGAATAAATGTTAGTATACATCTATAAACAAAGAATAGGAAGGGAGCAAAAGAAAAAAGCAAAGAAGAGATTCTAATATTCCAAAATCATTTTGATGGCAACATAATTTTAATCAGTGGCAACATCTGAATCCTGTGGGACCTATGTGTTAGTGTGAAATCTTACAAAGTCCAGCTTGAGTTCTTTTTAGTTACACCACTATCTTTCTGCTATGCTGTGGCTTTTAAATTCTATTTTCTGGAATGTGCCTTTACTAAAGGCACAAGTAATAGCAGGGCAGATATGGAAAACCCTAAAAGTTATGAGCTTCTTTTGATCTTTTGGGCCTGTGAAGATCATTTTAGTCATTGAGCAAGTGGGAGATTAGTGTTTATTAAGTATGTCCTGTGATACCCTTAGTCCTTGATGAATGCATTCTAGAAATAGGGCTTTGTTCCAAAAGAATAACGTGGAGGTGAGAGTGATAGCAACGTGTATACGTTTGTACGCATGTGTGGGGAGTGTGGAGCAGAAGGAGATGTGGTGGAAAGACCTGCCCCACCTCACCATAGTCCTGGTATCCAGGAGAGAGAGATTCCTTTCCTCCACGGAGCTGTTTCAGGGGTTGCGGCTTGCATGTCCGGCTGTGTCATTGGTTCAGGGTTGGAAATCTCCTTAAGGGAATGCACTCAAGCCTTGCATATCACTGCATTACTGTGATTAATTAGGATTGTCTTTATTATCGCAAACTTTTAATTTTGAGATAGTTTCAGACTTGCAAGATGTTGCAAAAATATAACAGTTTCTGTGTGCCCTTCACCCGCTTCCTCCAGCGATGACCGAACCGGGGTCATGGAACGGTATCAAAACCAAGGCGTTACCTTGGTGTCAGTGTGGTGCTCTTAACTGAAGAAGGTGCTTTCATCTTCTTGTCTGGGTAACCAAATGGAAACCCTAAAAGCTCTCCACATGCATGAGTCTACCTTTGAAATCCACGACCTGACAGGCAGGGGAAGAAATCCCCAGGTCTGTGCCAGAGTTTATGGTTTTATATTATTCCCGCATGGTCCTGACCCAGAGGTTAGGACCAAACTCTCAGCTGCAGTGAACGGGATTCACCTTGGCTTCCAGGGAGTCACCTTTACAGTTCCCTTACCTTCATCCCTGAGCAGCACAAAGGGATTGCCAGTGCAGCGTTTCCTTTGTTTTCCATCCACAAGGCCTGCTGTCCTCCTGCCCAGGATGCTGTTGGATACATCCAGGGCAGTTTCTTTGAGAGGCAAAATCTGAGCTCTGTGCCTTCGTGCCAGTGAGGACTCATGCGTGGTATTGCGTTCGAGTCTCCAGGGATCCTGCAGCATTCCTCCATACACTCCTTCTTAGGCCTGTGCCAGGCTCTTTAGGAACAGGTCGGGGGTGGTTCTTCCTCATCCCTGTAGCCTCTGAATTGAGGACCACCCCCAAGCCCAGCCCGCTTTCCCTCAGCAACCCCAGCCTCTGAGACCCTGGCCTCTTTTGCAGGAGTCCCTTATATCTGTCCATCTTTCCAGAACCCAAAACCCGTGTGACCCTGTTTCCATCTCCTCAGGCTGAAAAGGTTTTGCTCTCAGACAGCAGGATAGCTCACACTTGAGAGGTTTGGAGTTCCCCATGTTTATGTAGTGGTTGGAAATTTTCTAGGAGCAGACTTTTGTTTAGGATAGTCCGTGGAAAAAGCCCGAAGAAGAGCCCTTTGGAGACATTCATTTAATTTAAGGGGAATTTGTTCTGGTTCGGAATCAATTTCATAAGGAAGACTGTGCAGGCCTAGAACTAAAGGCCCAGCCTCAGTCCTCTCATCCTCCCCATTCAATAGGTAATGCATATTTAAGAGCTGCCTGAAGGGTTAACTCACATTTTTTTCTGGTGACTATAGACACACACCTCAAGGAGCTGGCTTACTTGGGCAGTTAATTTCTCTCTGGAATTTCTCCTGCTTGAATGTCCATAATACATTGATTTCCGCAAAGAATTGATTTCCACACAAAATTCCCTGCTTGCCTTAAACCCTTCCCCGCAAGCCGCTGGCTGCCTGCATAAATATGTGAATCATTTGTAGCATACCTGATTGGAGCTGCAAGTAAAAGAGCCGGGAAGTAATGTGATCTGACTGCTGATGTGCCTTTTTCATAAGCAAAGTGAGCCTTATCAGTCCTTTGCAATCTCCTGCCCAACTATCAACGCATTTGGAAAGTGTTTATATATGGTCACTCAGATGTTCCATCCATTTGAATGGAACTGTGGCAGATGAGTCAGCAAATCCGTTCAGTCACTGGAAATGCACACCTGCTTCCTGAACACCTCTGCTGGTAGTGGTGCTGAGCAAGGATGTAGCTCCTGGAATATATTTTTGAAATGTTGGAAACTTTCTCCTTCTCCTGAAGTCTTGGCAAGGAACTAACATTTCACTGGTAATGAAATGACCGTACACATCCAAGTAGCACTTTAGCCTGTAGCACTTTTCTCACTGATCATATATTTGCAGAGAAGGTGGGTGTTCAAGGACCACGGCCCTTCTCAGACCTTCAGCTCTCAATTCTTAGTTCTGTGGATCATACTGCAGGTCATGGGTGAGGTCATGTGTGCAGAGGACTCATAGCCTCTAGGGGTAGATTATCTAGGAAGTGAATCTACACATGTAGTATTCTGGGAAAGGTTTTAGTTGTGTAATCATGACTGAGAACAGTGACTCTGGTGTCACTGTGTGTGTCTATCAGTGCTGAAGAGATCTATTGGATGTTTTCATTTACCAACTCAGAGATAGGGCTTCTTCTCACGGCTGAGACTGATTAGTGTATATACAGTTTTCTAGCATAAGAGAAGAATTGAGATAACTGATTTAATGCTAGTCAGTGTTCTTTTGGGGAGTCTCTAATGCCAGCTTTGGTTGTCTTAAATAATATAAATACTCTTCTCATAGAGACTATTACAGCACTTTTATTGTAATGGACCATGTTTTATATTGGGGATATGAACTCTGACCAGATTTGGAGATAGGCTACTGGTAAGTGGGCATGAATTACTTTGATAATGCATAGCTCCAATGTAGACTGTAGAAAAGGGCATGTCTGCTATGGTAGTTGGTATTTGGGGCCAAATGACCCCTTGTGGTGAGTTCAGTCCTCCATTTAGCAACATCTCTGGTCTCCACTTACTGAATACCAGTAACAGTTTCTTCCAGCATTTGAGTTGTGGTCAACAAAACGGTCTCTGGAGATTTCCGAAAGTTCCCTGGTTATCCTTGGTTGATGACTGCTGCATTAAGCTACGTGTCCCAAGATCACTGATGTCTTAGAGACGTCCCAAATTCTCTGAAGTCCTATTAACATTCTGAGTGTAATTCGACTTAATATTTCAGTGATATCCCAAAAGTCACTTTTGCTGAATACCATGTGAGAAAACATACGACTAGAATTGTAAATGGCCACAGGAAATTGGAGAACTGCTCGGAATCCAGATAATGAAGAGCAGTAGAGAGTGGACCAACTCTGCACAAAGCAAGAACATTCTGTAACTCTGTACAAAAAACAAGGACTCACTGTCTATTTACAAACAGCCGGGAGAAGACAATCTTTGGGCCCAGGACAAATAACAAGCTAAAGTCTGGTAAACAGCCATGATTACTGGGGACTGTGTCAGCATGGGCTGGCACCCTGACCAGGTTCTGGCTGCTCCTGCCAGGTAGGCTGCCAGTCTCTGGGCAAACTCTAGCCCTGGCTCACACTTTCCAGAGACTTAAGGGCTACAGGGACTAGGGCATTCGTCCCCCTTTCACAGGAGGAAGGGAGTTGAGTAATACTGGCTTAAAAAGAACCTATTTTAGGTACTTTTTCTCCATTGGGCTTTTGCTAGTGTCTTTCTAGTGTCTCTCTAATCTTTGAAGATCTTCTAGGACTTGAGTGACTAGGTTGTCCAGGTTGACTTTCTGAGACCACAAAAGCAGTTCTCCTTATGGGATCAGAGTTCATCTTCATCAGAGGCATCAGAGCACCTTGCAGCGCTTTAGATGCACAATATTGTCCCTCTTTGTCTTAGCTATTGTCCTGTTGCTAAGACAAAGTACCCAACACCTGCAAGTTAAAGATGGGGAGGTTTACCTTGCCTCACAGTGTGTACAGAGTGTATAGGTGTCAGTCAGTAGTTGGCCGGCTCCAAGGCAGGGAGGCATGGCAGAGGGGAAACAGTCCATGGTAGGGCAGCATGGCAGCAGAGAAACCTCCACAGCAGGGCAGGCAGGAGGCAGAGAGTAATCAAAGGAGCCAGTGTGTGTTTTTGCATAGAACCTAGGGGAGAGGCTCAGGTTAGTGTCACTGTAACCTCATTGCAGTAGCTTAAAAGGAGGCCTTCATTTGAGATACAGCTCTTGGGCAAGTTAAAGTATACCTGTAGCTGCCTAAACATAGAGTAACAAGAGGATAGTTTCATCCTGACAGAGAGAAGTGAGACAAAGAGTTTCAGTGTGAGACTCTCTTGCTAAATGAACTAAAGCTTAAATATTGGTTTCTCTTATATGAGAAACCTAAACTATAAATCAGTGAATAAAATAAGGGCAATATGATAGACACTACCATGCAGGCTTCTGGGGATGGAGAAGTGGGTCAAGCATGGGAAGAGAACGGGCAAAGTGATCAAAGGTGACTATGCCCATACAAATTCCCCCAAATGAACACATACCATTCTATATTGTAAAGATATATTATAAATAATACAAAGTGCAGCTAAAAGTCTTTCTTTTCAGCAGTCTTAGCACACATGGAATAATTTTTTTTTTTTTTTTTATTCTGTAGGGAAACAGAGTTTATGCTGCTGGCTATGGCTACTTTTTTCATCTTGTGACCGGCCAAACATCGAAAGCACCACTCCTCTCATTCTCCCAGAACACTGCACATTCCTGCACGAGGTAATGAGGAAAAGTCACCAGCATTTGGGGTGTAATGGTTACGATTTAGCACTTTTCTGTAGGATACTACCAGAGGGTATAACTTTTGGCATTTGTTTGAGATCTGCTGATGCTACAGTATAAATATTTCTTAAGTCACATTATTAAAGTGTGATTGACATACAAAAATCTGTACACATTTGGCTGTACAGACTTGATAAGAATGAAGATACGTGTATACCTATGAAACCAACTTACAGCCTGTGCCATAAATATAGTCATCAACTGTAAATGCTTTGTTCCTGGTATGCTTATTTATTTATTATTGCCGGAACCCTTGAAATAAGATGTATAATCTCTTTGTAAAATTGTGGTTATACAATCCAGAACTGCTAACTACATGTACGACAGGTACAATGTATCTCTTGGACTTACTCATCTCTCATAGGTAAAATTTTATATCTTTTGACTAATACTTCCTTGTTTCCCTCCAGCCTCTGGTAGCCACCATTTTATTTTCTGTTTTGTTTGTTTGTTTGTTTGGTACTGGGAATCATCTTTTTTTTGGCACTTTGAGTATGTTAGATTTCTAATAAGAGGGTAGCATTTCTTCTTCTGTGTCTTGTCAGCCTCCGCAACACACTGTCCTTAGCTTCATCTGCATTGGCACAAATAGCAATATTCCCTTGTTTTGAAGGCTGAATGATGTCACATTGTGTGCTTACAGCACATCTTCTCCATTCATTCTTCTGTTGATGGATACTTAGGTTGCCTCTTTGTCTTGGCTGTGGAGAGTAACTTTGTAAGGTTTTAGATCATAAAAATGTGATGGTTAAGGAAAGAGAACAGAGTCACATGACAAACCTACAAAAACCTGGAATGTACCTTTTGTAGCTAGTTAGGATGCCAAAGGAAGGGAAGGTGGGGGAGGAAGATGGAGAGAGAGAGAGAGGAAGAGCAAGAAGAAAGAAGAAGAAGCAGAAGAAGGAGGAGGAGTCAGAGTTGGAGAAAGAGGAGATGGAGAGGGAAATAGTGAGAGGGAGAGAGAGAGAGGAGGGAGAGGGGAAATTTAAATTTCAAAGTGGTTCAGAACAACTGTACTACCAGGTGGTAGGAAGCTGGCAGGTTTGGCTCAGATCCCAGTGGAGAGATCAGCCTTGGAGAAGAGGCTGCGATGACTTAGTTGCTCATAGAATGAAGAGACTTGTTCAAAGCCTTTGTCATGTAGAGAGTAAGGCCACCTGCTAAGAACAAGCACACGTGAAACAAGATGGGGTGAAGAATTTGAGGCACATAGGAAAAATGCCACTTCAGAGCACGTCAGGTCCTGCTTCAAATCCTAACTTCTCAACCAGTCAATTCCTTTTAGTTTTCTTGAAGAATCTGATCCATTGGGCTGAGGGTGCAGCTATGTGGTAGAGTGCTTATCTACCATGTGGCAGACCTTGGTTCTGTCCTCAATACCAGAAGCATCACATTCTTTATTCGTAAAGTGGGGACAAGTCTACTTGGAAAGTTTGGTGTAAAATTAGAGCTGGTTGATATATTATGTCAAGAAGAACACCTGGAATATAATAAGAAACTAATAATTGATAGCCATAAATATAATAATAATATCAGTAATAATATTGTTAAATAATGATAGGAAATAGTGAGAAGAGAATAAAGAATATGAAAAATTGCTAAGCAACATTAAAGTGTCACCCACGGCTGAGATTAGTTCGTGTGTGATGAAATTTTCACCATGAATATCGAGCAGCTTTGCACAGTCCTGAAAGGTGAGGGAAGAAACCGTGCAGACCAGAGGACAGTGATGGTGGAGAACTGCAAGTATAAGAAGAAAATGTGAGAGAGTTACTGGTGTTGGTTTCTACTCTGCTGTGGAGAGGACACTTTAGAGGGCTTGGTAACATGGCATGGACCATGGCAACCTGCCTTGTCCTGAGACCCAGGAGCGGGTCACAGAGAATAACATAACAGAAGGCTAAGGAATGAGCAATGACACTTAGCAGGGTTACAAGTCTTATCTAGTTTCACTTGTTCACATTCATTAGCTTTTCATCTGATAGGGGGTTAATATCGAGAATATGCAAGACACTAAACTCAATAGCAAAACCCCAAATAATCCAATTTGAAAATGGGCAGTAGACTTACACAGACATTTCTCAAAAAAAAAAAAAGATAAGCAAGTTTCCAAAAAGTATATGAAAAAATGCTTAAAATCGTCAGTAGAAAATAAAATCAGTTCCATCGTGAGATGTCGTCTCCTAGCAGTTAGAATGCATAACATAAGTATGGGCAAAGATACAGAGAAAAGAGCAAAACTTGTACACTGTGAGTGTTTTTATGATGTGTGATTAAAAATAATACATTGATTGCTGCTGCCCAGGGCTATCCACCAGAAAGGCAGGACCATGACAACATCATGGTATGTGTTAGGATGTGTTTGAGTATTGGAACATTATCACATGCTACTCCTGATTATGTTAGTTACTATGCATTAACTTAAAAATATGTATAAAAACTTCAGTAGTTCCAATGAGAAAAGTGGAAGGTTAGCGACATAGCAGTTCTCTTAATTTCATTCTCTTTTTGTACTTTTTAAGGTTTGGGCTCTTTGTGTACCCCAAGTTTCAGCCACCTTGGGATCAGGACACTGGCCCTACTCTGTTCCAGAATTTCGTGGTTTGGGGAAGTGCAGGTGGCGCTCAGGTAAGTTTCTTAAGCTTTTTCAAAATTGAATCGTTCTTTGTTTTTTCCCTCCAATCTTTGTCATCTCTGTTGAAATGGGACTGGTTTCCTGAGGAGAGGATTATGATGTTATCACAGTCTGAAGGAGCCAGTGACATCATAGTTATTGTGTGGAGTGGTTGTTAAATAAAAAAATTCCTTGTGAGTAGTCTCAGGTTAGGTCATTTCCTGTATGAGACTTTTCAGTAATCCTAGGAGAGATCAGATTTGTGTCTGAGAGGTTCATCCATTCTTTCTTTCTAGTCCTGCTTACAGATAATAAATTATGGCTCAGAAAGTAGAAGAACTTGTTGGTCATTGCGCAGTTGATTAGCAGCACAGCCATGTGCAGAATCTAGACACAAGTATTATACATGTAATATTCTAAAATCCCGAATAGCATATACTTCAGTCTTGAAAAAAGCATGGTTTATCATTGGAACACAATTTCAGCTCAAGCATCCATTTTTACTTTAAATCAATAAATTAAATTAATTTTAAAGTCACATTTAATTCAATAAGTTAAATTTTCTTCTATCTTTTTCAAAAGAGAAAATAATTCACACATAGTCAGTTTTCTTTTTATTGCAATAAGAATTTTCTTATGAGGAAGTTTTGCTCCTTCATTGATTATAGCAACATATAAAATTTATCCAGGGTCACCATTTGATATTATATAGAGAAAGTATTTGGTCTCCATGAATTAGAAATCTGAAGCCTAAGATACATAGGTGAAGAAATATGTTTACAAAACATTCAGGAAATAAAACAAAAGCATATAATGAAGTCAAAAATTAAAAAGCTAAGACTTTATTTCATATATTCAATATGAGGAAAAGGAAAACAGTTGTGAATGAGGAAACTCCCCAAATACATAATTAGGATGCAAGGTTCCCAACTGTATATAGTGCTTTATTTTCATTTCGTTTTATAAAATGCTTGGTTTCCCATAAGCCCTTTGGGTGCCAGAGTCACAATCTGGTAGCAGCATCTATGCAATGCCGTGTTTATACAGAGAAACAGGCTCAATCCCTATCTTCTTGCTCCATAGTAGCCCTGTTCCAGAGAAAACCACCTAAGAAACAAAAAAATTAAAAGGTGCTACCGAAGTCAGCTCTTTTCAGAGTCTACAATCAGAAATGCTAAACCCAGTAAAGAAAAAATAGAACTCCATAGATTAAAATTTTGTTCTCTCAAATTTAATAAGTCAAAAAGTTCAGATAATGAGAATATCATTGGAATTTCACTTTTATGAAGAAGAAATTAAATAACAAGCTAACAGGGGAATTTTAAAAGTAATCATCTCTAAAATAATCCTGGAAGAAGAATGAATGAGATGATTTATTCTTTGCTACTTCAAAACTTCTTACAAAGCAATGATAAGACAAGTATGATCTGGACAAAAGGATATAGTGAGCAGTGGAGTAGATTTGACTGTCTAAAAATAGACCCAGGCATTTATGATTGAATGAGTTTTGATGAAGGACATCAAGACCATTCAATGGATAGCCTCACTGAAAAGAATGAAGTTGAAGCTGGTATTGTGGGTCACACCTGTAATCCCATTGCTTTGGGAGACTGAGGTTAGAGGATCACAAATTTGAATCTAGCCTTTGCAAGTTAGTAATGTAACAAGACCCTGTTTCACAATAAAAAAAAATAAAAAAAAACCTCTGGGGATGTAGCTCAGTGTGAAGGCCCTGTCCTAGTACTGCAAAAGAAATGAAAGTTGGACCCTTATGTTGTAATATTTACAAACATTAGATAAAAGTGAGTCAAGGACTTCCATGTAAGAGCAAAAATTATAATACTCATAGGAGTAAGTGTTTATGACTCTAATTTTCCAAAGGACTCTTAGATGTGTTGACAAAAGCAGCCACAATAAAAGAAAATATAGATAAATTGGACTTTATCGAACTCTAAAAATATAATACTTCAGAGAACACTATCAAGAAGGCGAAAACACAACCTACAAGCCTGGAAGACTGTTTGCAAACCATACATCTGATAAGGGAATTGTAGTGCAAATATATAAAGATTATAGTTCATCGCTGTGGGTCAACAATAAAAAATAACCCAACTAAAAATTGAACAAATTATCTGAACAGAAATTTCTCCACAGAACATGTCCAAATGAACAACAATCAAATGAAGATATTTTTGACATCCCTAGTCTGTAGGGAAATGCAAATAAAAAGGTAAATGAGATCCAACTACATACCCACCAGGGTGCCTAGAATAAAAATAACACCAACTGATTTGCAAGGATCGGGAGAAATTATGACCCTTAAACACTAATAGTGGGAAATCGAAAGGGTCTAGCTACTTCAGAAAACAGCCTACCAATTCTTCAAATGATTAAACTTAAAGTTACATGAACTATCACTTCCTCTTATAGTAATATAATCCATGAGAAATAAAAAGTAATATGCCCACATGTAAAACAGTACAGAAATGTTGAGAGCAGTGTCATTATTCCTGACAGCCACACAAAGGGAGTGACCAAAATGTTCATGGATGGACAAACGTACCATACCAAAGTATGGTATATCCACATGGAAAATTATTGAAGCAGGACAAGATGAACCTAGAGAACATTATATTGAGTGGAACAAACTCATCAGAACTGTGCATACTACATGACTTACTCAAATGAAAGTCCAAACGTGGAAAATTTCAGACAGATAGAAAATTTAGTTGCTTTGGGATGGAGGTTGGGCAATAATTGTGGGAATGGAATGGGACCTGATAGCTGAAAGCTCTTTTTGAATTGATGAAGGCATTCTAAAGTTGTAGTGATGTTTGCAAATATTTCTAAATATAGTAGGAGCATTGAATTATAAACTTTAGGTATGGGAACTATACCTCAATAAAACTGTTTATAAAAAGTAACCTGTATACAGTCACACAAACTCTCAGATAGTCCCAATTCCTGTCTGAGTGACTTTGAGAAGATTTCCTAAATTTTCCCACTTCATTTGTAAAATGGAGCAACTGATAGTACCAACTGATAGTACCATTCAATGTGTTTGAATGTTAAGTAAGTCCCTGAGTGTTAAGTTTCAGATAGATAGGAGAAACAATTCAGTTTTACAGTAGGATGATTATAAATAATGATGATGTGCTATATATTTCAAAATAGAAGAAAAGATATTAAATATTGCCTCCCCCAATATCATGATGAATGTTTAAGGAGATAGATATTCTGACCCTGATTTGCATATTACAGATCCAGTGCACTCAATAAGTGTGTACGCTTTTATGGGTTAATTAAATATAATAAAATCCCTGAATAAAAAGTGCTAAATTTTCATGAATAGCACTAACATTAGCTGTTATTTATTATCATTTTTGGTAAAAAGGAATTGGGAATGACGGACTGATGTTGCTAATAACATCTTTGGAAATTGTAATGTCCAAAAGTGCCATTTGGATCACAAAAAGTAGCATTTATTTTAATTATTTCTGGTCATTTTGACATTATTGTCATGCATACAGATGTTTAAACATAATATTCTGGTAGGCAAATTTTTATTTTTTCCCCTCATTGGATTAATTTAATTTTACACTTTTTTTAATTGACAAAAGGTATCTGTATTTCTCATGTTGGCATTATGTTTAGAAACATGTATACGCTGAAAAAACATTAACTGGGTCAGTTAACACAGGCATTGCTTCATACACCTTCCTTTTGTAATAAGGACACTTGAAATCTACTCTCAGCAATTTCTGAGAGTACAGTGCTTTATTAATTAGCTACAGTTCCTTTGTTGTACTCTTGAAAGTATTCCTTACATTGAACTTAAATTTTATGTCCTTTCACCAACATCTCCCTGATCTCTGCTATTCCCCTTTTAAACCCCAACCCTTGGTAACTGCTCTTCTCGTATGAGTGACTTTTTTGGATTCCATACATAAATGATAGCATGTGTCTTTTTGTCTTTTTGTGTGTGTCTGATTCCATTGAAAATAATGTCCTTCAAGTCCCTCTGTGTGGTCACAAGTAGCAAGATTTCCTTCCTTTTTAATGCTTGAATAGTATTCCATCATATACAGATACAGATAAAGATATAGATACAGATACAGGTATAGGTATAGATTTGAGATATTATAATAACATTTTCTTTATCCATTCATCAAGGTGATGAATTTAGTTGTTCATATTTCTTGGCTACTGTGAATAATACAATGAACGTGGTAGTGCAAACATTTCCTTGACATACTGACCTAATTTCCTTTGGATATATATCTAATAGTATGATTGCTGTGTCATATGGTAGTTCTGTTTTTAATTCCTTGAGGATACTTGCCATTGTTTTCAACACTGACTGTACTAATTTACTTTCTCACCAACAATGAGCACCAAAACTTATCTGAGAGTAGCCATGCTGACAGGTGTGATGTGATATCTCACCGTGATTTTAATTTGCATTTCCCTGATGATTAGTGATATTGAGCAGAAAATTCCTATTGTGTATCAACGTAAGTTTATTCCTATAGTTTTGAACATGTTCTCATTTAGTTTACTAAACTTTTAGGAGTAGTATACCATTATTTTTACTCCTTTTTGTAGATACAACTATCTAGGGGATAAAATATTCTTTAAGTTGCACAAGTAAGAACTTTTGTATTCTAATCAAGTGAATGGACCCTTCAATTTCTATTTTAAATGAGTTAAGAAAAATACCTCCTTTCACCAAGCTTCATAAAGACAGAGGACTTTTTCTAGAAGAGGAAAGGTGAGAGCAAACTGTGAACAGTGTGTGAAAAATAGGTGCATTCTGCAGTTATATGTCAGTTTCCTTTTAAAATGCTCAGGTTCCCTTGCCAATGCTAGGTGCTAGCTATTTTTAAAATATATTTGCAAATAGATATATTTGTGCATGTCTGTAATTAAGTAACAGTTCTCAAGCTGTCAGTAGAGATCATACCTATTTTCAAATAAATCTGTCTTCAAAGAACTGTCACTTTATAAAAAGCTTAATACATAACTCAAAATTCTTGGGAAAAGGATTGGCCAGCATATAAAAAGTATGATAGAATAATAAATCAGGGTACTTTGGCCTTAATTAACAAAAGACTTCCAGTTAGGGTATTTAACGAATAAAGGGTTGACCATGTTAAATTAATTTCTAGTCCTGACCTCCACCCTAATTTTTAAAGGTGGTTGAACCAAGGCCAAGGAGAGGTTAAATGTGTTGCCAAAGATCTCATAGTTCATATCAGGGCTTGGTGAAAACCAGTGGCCTTGTTTGTAAGGCCAGTGAGATTCTCTCAAAAACTCTACCATGCTAATTTTGTAACTACTTAATCCCCAGTTGGGCATACTTACTCAAGCTGCCATAAATGAAGATGCATATTACATGTGTTACATGTTGGGCCCATACACAGTGAGTGTGTAGTCACGATGAATCACTTATTTCATATTTGCAGTCTTTTGACTGTAAGAGTTAACATATAGTACATTGAACTAATGTTAAGCACTGGAGTTCTTGATTCTGTGTTTTTAAACATTAATTTTGTGATTTGGCCCCTGTAAGACTATTGTAAATATATGGAGAATTCCCCTTGACCCTTGAATGTGTTCCTTATTATGAGGAGAATTGTAAAGTACAGAGAGGGTTTAACCAAAGGAGACTAGTTAGTGCTGACCTCACAGCAGTTTGGGGATGTGTGTGCTTATATTGATGGACAAAGGCAGCTTAAATGTGCCATGGCGTACTTATTTACTCATAATCAATAATTAAAGAAGTTTCAGGAAGTCTGCAAGAACACCAAGCCTCAGACCTCTGCCATAACATATGCTATTATTTTATAGATTTTCAGAAGTAGCAATCTCCACCTGAGAAACTTCCAAGTTTATTCATGTAGAGATTTTGGAATTGACATCTTGGAAAATGATGCAAATACCTCAGTTACAGACAGCTTATTACTGGGTCATTTTACCCACAAGGTGAGTGCATTAGTGCGGTTGTTTTCGGCTGTTCATCAAAATGGAATCATGTGTACAGGGCTCCCTGGGGATTCAGGATATGCGATTTTAATAACATTTTTTAGCGACTCTTGTACTGGTAAAAGCTAAAGGAGTTTTTTTATTTGTAACAATGATGATATTTATAAGATTAAAACATATTTAGGGTTTCTGTCCTTATGAGTCCATACAAAGCATAGCAGTCCTGAATAGGTTGAAGAATTCTGATTTGCAATTTGGATTTCTTATATATGTAAATTTGACTTTAAACCTAATAATTTAATTCAGTTTCTCTAAACTCACAAGGATTATGGAAGAGCATGACTCTACAGTATCTCTCTGCTCTGTGGTTTGCCAAGTTCTTTCACCAATATTTTGTTGATGGGTAGGGGTCTTTACTCCCCCAAGGATGGGGTCCTTATTTGGGGTCCTTACTCCCCCAAGAATATGTTGAATCCAGTAATAAAAATGTGCATGGCTTGTAGCTCAGTGAGCTTTTTAGAATTATTCTTTAGTACTCGCATAATTTGGGGTTCTTTTGTGGTAAAAGTAGGACTGTCAATGACTTTTCCACTGCCACATGGCCAGGGGACCAGAATGTAGGTAAGGCAAAGAGTGCTTTTCCAGTGAGTGCTACTAGTCCTCCTTCAGGGAGGCTCACTACCACTGGCTTCCTGTGCTTCAGATCTTTATTAGATATCATGTCTTTTTTTTTTTTTTGTTAGTATGTGTTTGCAGTGCATAATAATTGTAGGGAATTTGTACCTGACCCATGATACCTCTTAGTTCTCTTTAATTCTCCTTCCTCCCTCCATCTCTAGATCTCTTTCCATTTGCAAAAGACCTTCCTGATTCCTATTATCCATCATGTATTTTGCTCTTTTAACTATGCGTACTTTGGGTTTCTCACATCAGATAATCCGTGCAGTATTTACGCTCACGCGTATGATTTATTTCACTTCACACTCTGGCGTCAAAGCTAAATCTTGAAAGTGAACAACACGTCTATTAACAGATTAATGGATACAGAAATAGGAGGCATATTTACACAATGGAGTAACAATCAGCCATAAAGAAGCTTAAATCTGAGTGATCTGTAGGAAAGTGGATTCCCCGTACTTCTGTTTCTAAAAGAGTAACATGAATGGGTGGAACGTGGCTCAGTGGTAGAGCACTTGCGTCCCATGCTCACGGCCCTCTGTGTGATCCCCAGAGCTTCAGCACAACCTGTGTTAACAATCACATTGTCCTAAAGAGTCACTGATAAGAGTGACTCCGGTATTTCTGGAGTCATGGAAAGAACAGTCTCCTCAGTTTGTTCCAACTAAAATTTAATAATTGTTGACTCTTGTGCTTCCATAGAGATGATTTAATAGTGAAAGATAAAAATATTAAGATTTTAAAAATAATCTCCTATTAAGCTATGTTTCTATATTTGGTTCTCAATTTTTCTAGGACTTCTGTTCAGCTCTTCAGCTATGCTTTTGAGAGGGTAAATACCTGATAGCTCTTTTTGTCTGAAAAGGTTATCACTTTGAGAGATGATTCTTCTTTTCAGATTGCACATTTTTCTGAGAGGATAGCACTTTAATTTAGAATCTGTAATGCTGGTGTACCTAAGTCTTACATTTCCCACAAATAACCTTAGAGTAGATACTGAAAACAAGATGTCCATCAAACTGAGTACCTAACTGTCCTGGTAAATTAATGTTGCTGCATCATAATTGATGTCAAATACATCATAATTACTGGGAAAGTGACATAAACTAAGATCTAAATGATGACAAGGATCCTTATCTTGAGACAATTAAAAATAACCACACCCCAGGGTGTGATTCAAGAGGAATGTGGTGCAGCTGGGGGCCCTTTAAACTCTTAGTGAGTAAGAACAAGACAAGAGTCTCCTGATAGAATATGTCAGACAGCTTTGTTCCAGAGAAGTCTACATACTGGTTAGTTCTCTAAATCATAAAACTGTACAATTTCAGAGCTAAATGTTGCCTAGAGCATGAGTCATTTAGAACCCCTGAATTTAGAGGTGAAGGACGTCATTTGGCAAGTCAAACAAGAGCTTGAGATTCATGATTGATGTTGAGGAGCTGCAACACTCGGATGTCACCAATTTCTGACCAAGGGCTCCTCATTATAGGTGGAAAATGGCTTTGCAGTGGGCATTTGTTACTCTGAAGTCTTTTCCATGAAAGGCTAGAGCTGGACCCACGAGCATCTAAGAAAGTGGGATTATTCGGTTAACCATACTCATTCTATGATGTTCACCATAGTGTTTCTGGTGTTTGCAATTAGAAACAAGTCCAGAAATCTATGTATGTTAGAACTGCAGTTAACACAATTGTATTTTACCAGTGATTTTGTTAAATTAGTGGATGTTAAGTGCTCTTATCACAAGAACAACAATTTGAGGTGGTAGTTTAATTTGTATCACAACTATCCTACTGTCTACTTGTATCCCACCTAAACCTCAAATATACACAATAAAATTCATTCTTAAAAACATAAAAGCATTTTAAAGACTGTGAGAAATCCTAGGATCAAAACAAACGTGAATCATAGCCATTAATCTTCAATACATTTCTCAGCTTTACTTGGGAGTTCTTCTATTGCCGGTAATCGGCTTTTTTTTTTTTTTTTAAATGAGGGTGTTGGCCCTCCCTGCAGCTTTGGAGGTATGATTTTAGCCTCTGTATTTTGTGCCTGATATTCTTTTGGGCACTGAGGTTTTTCAAAAGAAAACTCTATAGGCCTTTCCATCTATAGACCTTGCACTCACATTTGTAGCAGAAAATTACTTAAGTAGTCATATTCTCAAACACACATACCTCCTGGGAGACTTTTATCATTTGAAATAAGTGTTTTAATTCATTAATTAATATACTTTAAAATTTTATTAGAACATGTCAGCAGTAATAGTGTTTACATCCTTTACATAGCGGCATATGCACATAACACATCTTGATTCACTTCCTAGCCCTTTCTTCCTCTCCCCCTTCTCTTGATCCATCTCTTGATCCCTTTTTCATTCGAGAAAGATCTCTCTCTCCACTTCTCATTGTTGACTTTTTATTTTGCTCTTTACTTACAGTTTGGGTTTCTTATACAAGAGAAACCATGTAATATTTAAGCAGTGTGTCTGATTTATTTCACTTAACATAATGGACTCAAGGTGTAACTATTTTCCTACAAATAGCTCAGATTTATCTTTATGGGACAGTAGTGCTCCATTGTTTGCTGATACCACATTTTCTTTTTCCATTCATCTGATGATGTACATACATAAAAGCTACATCCGAGATTTAGCTATTATGAATTCTTCTGCTGTAGACACAGATATGCCCTAGAAGGGATTTTTTTCCCTTTAAGCATACTTATGTAAGCATGTGTTGGTATCTTCAGACCTAATAATATTACCTTTATGTTACCATGGATAGACTAATTTTAATATACATGGAAAATAAATATACCGTAGCATCACTGCATGTTTTCAGTCTGGCAGTTTGTTTAATACCTGCTAGTCCAGCATTCTAACTGCCATCTCTTCACACCCAGAAATGTCTGGACTTGGATTTCAATTACAGTCCTTTTACTTTGGAAGCATCGGTAGGACTGCTGTGCCTCTGTTGCTGTTATAATTAATTTGAGCAGATGATACTACTTTAAAAATATATTTTTCAAGCAGGTGCTGATGGCATGCTTTTCTCTTCCTCTTTTTTCTCTCAGGGTTACTTCCCAGTTTCACCTGTGTATTTGTTTTCATCTGTTTAGAAGTCTTCACTTTTTATTTCTCTAAATTCTGTTGTAGGGAACTTTTCTTTCCTCAGTATCTTTCCTCTCCCTTGAAGGAAGCTCATTTTCTCCCGCAGTTTGAATTCCGACCCACATGCTGAGGTCTCACAATATTTGCAGTTTTTCTGCCATCTCATTTTGTGGTTTGTGCTTGTAGCTCATTTCCTTTTGTTTCTCTTTTTGCATTTTTCTAACTCAGTTTGTCTTAAACTGCATTGTATCTTTTTAGAGCTTCTCATTCAAAAGTTGTTCTTTCTGCTATGTTTATTTTAGTTATTGGCTCTACACTTTTAACAACCTTGTTTGTCTTCATGGAGTCTACATTAGTTCACCACTGCTGAGCTTTACCTGAATAACTCAAATACTTTCATCTGCTTTAGCTTCATTCTTTACTGTATCGTCTCCTATGTTGTTTTTCTCTTTTTGTTCCAATTCTGTTTTACGGAAATACAGCGTTTAGGGAGGAAGTGTACAGGTCACGAGGGGCGAGCCCAGTGTATCTTTATGAGGCAGACCGACAGTGTGCATTCCACTCAGATCAAGAAGCAGAGTGTTCATCACTTCCTCGGAAGGCCCTTCAAGCCCCTTCCGATTCTCAGCCGTACCCTCAAGTCCCCCGTCAAAGGAGAAGCATTATTCAGATTGCTATTGGTAGAGAGTCACTTCAGCTTTCTGTACTAGTCACTTTCCCGTTGCTGGGACAAAATACCAGACACCTGCAACTTAAAGAAGAGCAATTTATGTCTGCTCGCGGTTTCAGAGGGTTCATTCCACTGCTGGTTGGCTGGAAGCAGAAATGGTATGACAGAAGAGTATGGAGGAGGAGAGGTGCTTAAGGCCCAGCCTTTAGGAGGCAGAGGGAGGGCCTGGAAGGGAGGGGCTGGGCACAGGAACACACCCTTCTAGCTTACAAACCCGCTCCAAGCAGGCCCCACCTGGAATCGCACATTCAGCTCTGCCCCATGATCTGATTACTTTCCACATGTGACGCGCGTCTGAATGTATGAGGCTTCAGGGGTCATTTTGGATCTAGATCATAACAACCCCCAGCTGAACACACAGAAACCAGTTTCTCGGACGCTTTTTCCTGCCTTCCCAGTTCCTAGCCCTGTCCCCAAATCCCCAGCCAAATTATTCAAACTCTTATCCATGGAGAATTGCTTTCTCTTTCTTGGTTTTCTTTTTTTGAATTTCATATAAATGGAATGATAGAAAATGTCACTCTATTTCACCTGGCTTCTTTGGCATAATATTAAGTCTTTGAGATTCACCCATATCTTTGTGTTCTGCAGCAATTTAAAGTTCCAATCATTATATAATACTGAGTTTTATAACTGTACCCATGATGTTTACAACTGTATTACTATGGGGAAGCATTTGGTAGCTATCCTTTATAAACATTCTACTGTATGTGTCTTCATGTTTATATCTGTTGAAAATACATGAAGCTGTAAAATTAGTGGTTATATGCTGTGTCTTCATCTTTAGTATACAATGCAAGCAACAATCCAGAGGGTTTACAACTACCCAGCAGGTTAGGGGCAGACTTTCCTGGAATCTATCTTCACAGACATGCTGGAGATTTCCTTCATTCCTTCCTAATATTAGAATCCCCCTCCTGTTTCTCATGTCTTGTTTGCTTCTGGTTCAGTTCCTCACTTTTTTAGAGCATAGCCCATAGTAACTTTCTGGAAAAATTGAATCTTTGAAAGGTAAATGGTTTGCGTTATACATGGGAATCCCGTTACTAGTATGTTATCGGTTACAGAATGCTAGATTGGAGTTAAGTTTGTCTCAAAATTTGGAGGTGATATTCTACTGTTTTCTAGCATCTAGTCTTGAGAATGAATAGTTTTAAGAAATTTTAATTCTGGGTGTTTTACATGTAAAATTTTATTTTATCGTCTCTGGAAGCTTTTTTGATCCATGTCATTGTCTCTCATGTGTTGCAGTTTCAACACTGTATAACATGATGTAGCTCTCTCTGTTAGCCACTGTGTTAAGTGTGGGGGGTACTTTTCAGTATGAACAATTTCATCTCTTCATTTGGGAAATTTTGTACAATTATTTCTTTGAAAGTTGTCCCCTTTATGTTTTCCTCTGTTTTATTTAAACTATTGTTATTTGGATATTGGACATTTTGGATTGCTTTCCTAATTTTTTAACTCTGATTTTTCCATCTATTTGTCTTTTTTTCTATGTTTTAGGGTATTTCCTCAATTTTTCTATTGCATTTTTCCATTTTTCTTTTTTAAAAATATTTTTAGGCTTTTTTCAATGGATATAATCTCCTCATTTCTCTGAACACCCTAATATTTTAGTTTTCCTCTGATTTCTAAATTAGCTTTGTTTATTCCTTTTATCACTGTTTTTCATGTTGGAGGATTTTGGAAAAACTTAGTGATCCTTAAGTAAGGAACTATTTTTAACAACAGAACAGTGAAGCACCTACAATTTAAATTAATGGGGTTTGTTGAGATTTTGTGGAAAGAATTAGAAAAACAATTTTTGTTTCCTTTGTTTTAGGTTTTATCACGAAAGTTCATTTTTTCTATACTAAATATAGCAAAACTCGCTTTTCCAATGTTCCATTTTTGAAATTTTAACATCTGTAAATTTGTGTAAGCACCACCACCACAACCGCCTACACCAGCACCAGCACCAGCACCATCACCAACACCACCATGATTACAATACAGAACAATTACAATAGAAATGCTTACTCTGCTGGAAGACAAAATAGGTAAAACTCTTGAAGACATATGTGCACACAAAGAGGTGCTAAACAGAACCCTGGCTGCATAAGAAATAATATCAAGAATCAACAAATGGGATCACAGCAGATCAAAGAGCTTCCGTACAGAAGGGAAACCACACAGTGGTGAACAGACAACCTACAGCATGGGAAAGGAGGGCTGGGGACTTAGCTCAGGGGCACAGCGCCTGTCTGTCAAGTGCGAGGTCATGAGTTCGGTTCCCGGTACCAGAAAAAAAAAAAAAGAATGGGAAAGGAATTTTGCCAGCTACTTCTCTGTAGACATAAGACTAATATTTAGAATACATAAACAACTAAAAAGTTAGACCTCCCAAATTTAGAGACTGAATTAAGAAATGAGCATCTGAAATGAATAGATACTTCTCAGGCAAAGAAATACAAATGTCCAATAAATGTTCAACATCACTGACCTTTTGAAAACTCTGAATTAAAACAAGAGTCCGTCTCACTCCAGAAAGAATAGCTGCCATCAAGAAATCAACCAAAAACAAATGATGGTGAGGCTATTGGGGGGAAAGGATCCCTTCTCTACTGTTGGGAATATAAACTGATATGACCACTGTGGAAATCAGTATGCACATTCCTCAAGAAACTAAAAATAAAATTTCTATCAGCTCCAGCTATTCCCCCAGCTAGGTAACTTCCCCAAAGTGTTAAAGACATCATACCACAGGGATGTGTGCATACCCACATTTACAGTGGCACAATTTATGTTAGCTAAATCTTGGAAACAGCCTATATGTCCATCAACAGATGAATGGATAAAGAAAATGAGGTATTTATACACAACAGAGTATTACTCTGCCAGAAAGAAAGATAGATTTGAGTCATTTATAGGAAAATGGGTACTCCTTGAGACCATAGTGTTAAGTAACTCCAATACATAAGCTTAAAGATTCCATAGTTTCTCTTTTACGAAAAACTCAATATATATCAATATATAAAAGACAGATAATTGGAAAAAAGTGATAGAGAGGAGAGAGAGAGGGGAGAGAGACACAGAGAGAGAAGAGAAAGAGAGAGAGAGGGAGAGAGAGAGGGAGAGAGAGAGAGAGAGGGGAGAGAGAGACAGAGAGAGAAGAGAGAGAGAGAGAAAGAGAGAAAGAGAGGGAGAGAGAGGGAGAGAGAGAGAGAGGGAGAGAGAGAGAGAGA